TAAGTGACTCTTGATCTTGGGGTAATGAGTTCAAGCCCCACATTGGAAATAGAGCTTACTGAAAATAAATTTTTAAAATAATTAAAATGGTAAAATTTATGTTATGTACATTTTACAACAAAAAAGAAAGAAAAGAAACAAATTGGCATATTATTGGGAATGGCACTGTTGAAAAAAAAATTAAAACAAGACTCCAGGCATGACTCAAATAGTTATGGGAGCATGTGCCCAGGCACCATACTCTCCTGTTGTTTCCTCTTTGCATGGCTCTTTCCAGAGCTCCCCTCCCTTTACCTGCTTGCCTGGGAACCAAGACAATAGACCTGCTGAGCAGCTTTCACCCGCTGGAGAAGCAACCCCTTCTTCTCAGAACATACTTTCCTCACCATGTTCAACTAGATGAAGTTTTTATCCGGTTGTTCCAGAAGCTTCTGAACTGGTCCCCTTGCTTCCATCCTGCACCCAACCCTCATCCATCCCTGCACCCGTCCTGCATCCATTCTCTGTGCTGCGGCCAGAGTGATCCAGCTAGTGTGAGACCATGGCACCCCTCTGCTCAGATGCTTCTACAGCTGTCCTTTCCACTCAGAGTGAAAGCAAAGTCCTCACAGAAGCTTCCGAGGCTCAGCAGAATTTGGTTTCCCATTCTCTCTCTGACCTCATCTGCTGGTCTCTATCTTTTCCGGCACTCTGGCCTCTTTGCTATTCCTCTCTGTGCTGTGCAGGGCAAGGACCCTCTCAACTTAGGGCCCTGGTGCTTGCTGTTTCCTAAGGCTGGAAAACTCTCCTTCTAAATACCCATGTAGCCACATGACTCATTCCCTCGACTCCTTGAGTCTTTGTTCAAAGATTACCTTCTTGGGCACCTGGGTGGCTCAGTCGGTTAAGCATCTGCCTTTGGCTCAGGTCATGATCCCGGACTTCTGGGATGGAGCCCTGCTCAGCGTGAAGTCTGCTTCTCCCTCTGCCCTGCCCCTTGCTCATGCTCTCCTCTCTCAAAACAACAAACAAACAAACAAATAAATTCTTTAAAAAAAAGTCCTACCAAAAAAAGATTACCATCTTAGTGAACTGTAAACCATTTCACTTAAAATTGAACACACCACTGCAGATCCCATCCTGCCTATTCCTTTTTGCCTTGTTTCCTCTCATAGGACTAACTAATCAGTATCTAGCACATAATTTAGTTATATTTCTTTACATATGTGTTTGGTACATTGTCTTTGTTCCCAATAGAGTGTAAGTTCCATGAGGTAGGGAGTTTCTTACCTGTTTGGTTTACTGATATGTGACAAGTGCCTAGCGGCATAGTGCCTGGCACATAGTAGGGCTTACTAAATATTTGTTGAATGAATGGATGGCCAGCTGTCGACTCCACACAACGACCCACCATTAAAAACCTGTTGACCAAGCAAAGCTGATTATTGCTTATTGCAGCAGTGGAAACACCACCTGATAGACTCAAAGGGAAAGGTAAGGCGAGACATTTGGAGTCATGGAGTCTATGCTTTCATGACTTAAAGTATTTTTTCAAGGCAGGGAATGCATTGGGGTTGAGCAAAATTCCTGACATAATAGTTTAGGATTGGGGGACATGGCAAGGTGAGGATCTTCAGGTATGTTTTTATGAGGGAAATGTTGTTCTGATAAGTGACTTAGTGGTTCCAGTGAACTACTGTTTTCTTGATAAGACAGCTGTTTGCCCAGGTAGCAAACCACCCAGCTAACTTGGTTTACAACAATTATTTGAAGCACACAGGAAAGTTAATAGTTTACAATCTTGTCTTCTGTTAAGTTTCTGTTGATGCAGGAGGTCTCAGCTCTCAACATCAATTAGTGTGTACACCTCAGTGGATTCAAGCATATTTAGCCTTGGTACCTTTTTTGGAAACAGAATCTTGCCATATAAGTCTAGTTCACAAGGGATCCCTGGGTGGCTCAGTGGTTTAGCGCCTGCCTTTGGGCCGGGGCGTGGTCCTGGAGTCCCGGGATCGAGTCCCGGGATCGAGTCCCGGGTCGGGCTCCTGGCATGGAACTTGGTTTTCCCTCTGCTGTGTCTTCTCTGCCTCTCTCTTTCTCTCTCTCTCTCTCTCTCTCTCTCTCTCTCTCTCTCTCTCTCTCACACACACACACACACACACACACACACACACAGAATGGAAATATAATGGAACTGCTTTGGTGGAACTGGATAAGCCTAGAATCTGGGGCCCTTGCTACTCCTGACCTCAGCAAAATTTGAAAAGCCTCTAAATAACTTCTGCTTCCTGGTATTTATGATCCTATGGTCCTCTCTCTGTGAGCGTGAGCTGGACCTAGTGACTCGATCCTAATGAGTAGAACATGGCAATAATGATGGGATGTCACTTCTGAGATTAGAAAACAAAAAGACTGACTTCTGCCTTGCTCCCTTTCTGTCTCTTGCTAGCCAGCTCTGAGGGAAGCTGCCATCATATTATGCCCTGCGGAGAGGCCCATGTGGTAAGCAATTGATGTCTCCAGCCAACAGCCAGTGACAGCCTGCCACCAGACACGTGAGTGAGCTTGGAAGTAGGTCTCCTCCTACCTGGGCTCTGAGATGACTGCTTGATCATATCTTGATTACAGCCTGGAGAGAGACCTGAGTCAGAATCACTCAGTTAAGCCATCCTTGGATTCCTGACCCATAGAACTGTGAGATAATAAATGTTGGTTTAAGTTGCTAAATTCTGGAATACTTTCTCACACAGCAATAGATAGCTAATAGAGGGTGTGTGTGCACGCGCGCATGCGTATGCGTCTCTGTGTGTGTGTGTGTGTGTGTGTGTGTGTGTGTGGAGGGGGGGCTTCTGAGGTGATATCAGGATATTTTATCTAGCAGCATATATACCACAAGACTTCACATATAATGTGTTTCCTTTAGAGAATTTGTCATGACCCTGGGTGTGCCCTCTGGTTTGGAAACTCAGAAACAGTTTTGTCAGCTCAGCAAAACAGATTCATCTTTAGTCAGATTTACATGAACTGGGTTTATAGGACTTATATGACAACACCAAATGCTAGTTATTAATTTATAATGAGACAAAACGTAATCATTCTGGCCAGCAAAACAGAACACTTATGTTTCTCTGCCAAGCACTTTCCCTGAAGGCAAAATTCAATGTCAAATAAGAATGAGTGAGTTGCTTGATAAACACAGAACAATGGAAGTTAAGCATAGGTTTCAAATGTTTGGTGGCAGTAGTCTAAAGGGATCACCTCATGTTAGGGATAATTTCATCAGTGGAACCAGACAAAACTCCAAAACTGTTGGTTAAAACCCCAAGAGGAACTCATCAATGGGCCTGGAATTTCCCCAAATCACTTGGTGAAAGCTTCTTCCTTTTGTGGGCAATGACTGACCAATATCTTGGCTGGGCAATGACTGGCCAATAGACCGGTTTTCTATTGGTTTCTATTGGTTTTCATGATGACCAACCCTTCTCCAAAAGGAAAGATTTTTTTCTTTGGATGAGTTAATACATGGATTAGCTTATAGTCTCTTCTTGTTGGTGTAGAAGTTGTTTTTCATCTTTAAAGTAAGTTTAATGCTAATTATATTAATATATTGTAATCCAGACATCTATTTAAGAACTTTATTTATGGATTGTCTGAATTTAATCTATACAGCAACAAAGTGAGGTAGGTATACCAATATCCTAGTACCAAGAAGGGAACTAAGGCAGAGAGAAGATACTGAAAATCTCACAGCTAATGCATGTGATAACATTGTTTTGCCTGAATTTGCTTCAGATTGATTTCCTAAAAATGTTTTCCTATCTCCTTTGCCCTACACCGATGATTCTCAAACTTGAACAATCCTCAGACTTACATGGAAGATTCCTTAAAGAATAGAATGCTGACCTCCACCCCCAGAGTTTATGATTCATTAGATTTGGGGGGCCTGGTAATCTGCATTTTTAACATGCTCCTGATGCTGTTGATCCAGGGATCACATTCTGAAACCTTTTTTTTTTAAATTTTTTTTTTTAGGTTAGCAATATCACTCTTTTGGAGTAGTTTCTTGCTTCCTATTCATTTTGTAAGTGCAACTAGAGTGATCTTCCTAAATTTACTTGGAAATATTTATCAAGTGTCAGGCACTGTACAAGGCATAGAGGATGAAATAATGAGCAATAACCTGAAGTAGGGTAATTGCCTGGAACAGTTTCTTTTCTTGGCTGAATACCATACAATGTTGTTCATGCTCTTCTCTCTGAGTATAAAATATAAAAGTAGTATAACTGAAGTTCCCACAAAATGGTTTGGCAGCTCTGTGCCCTTTGATTTTGCTCTGTGTAGTTCTTTGGTGGAATAATTAAAACTACAGCTTGTTCTTCATGCTAAGATAATGTCAGAGTGAACTGATGGATTTTTGGGTAAGCAGGAATATGGGAGGAGATGATAAGTTTCTTCGGACTCATTCTTCTAGTTTTGTAAAACTCTACAAAATCATTTTTTCATCCTTAAAAGGGCGGTACATCAGGAATGACTTGGAAATGTTCACAAAGTCCTGCCCTCCTCCTTTGAAGGTCTTACCTTTTCTTTCTCTGCTCTCACCTCATAGGTCCCGCCCCAGCAAGAGTGATGATCAAGCTGTTCTGGGCTTAGCTAGCCCAGGAAAATCATCACCACTACCAGTCACAATTATCTAAGTCTCTGCTCCCTTTTCCCTCTTCTCTTAAAGGTTTGAAGTCTCCTTTTTGGATGGGCAGAAAAAGTCTAAATTTAGCTGATCTGACACTTTGGTAGTGTAATTCCTTGTTATTACGGGACAAATTCTGTTCTAATCAAGAAAGCTGGAATTAAAATAGCACTGTCTCTCCACATGGCACCTTAAATTCTGTCCTTGAAACACGGCCCTCTTTCTCAGGCTGATGTAACAGCTCATGTATCTTCAGGATGGCCCAATAGAGTACATGGGGGCGGGGGCGGGGGCGGGGGTGGGGGTGGGGGTGGGGCAAGCTACAGAGGCTATTTCTTTTGTTTTGTTTTTGTGGAGTTGTTTTTGTTTTGGCCATTTGATTTTTATTCCAGGGTCAACAGGGAACTATGGAAGGCTTTAAACTGGGCAATGATAAGGATGAGGTATGTATGTCTGAGCCATCTTTTGGGTCGCTGCTTGGAGAACTGGACGGATTTGGAGGCAGGAAAACCACTTGCACAAGAATACAGGTGCGGTGGTTTGCAGTGATCCCGAGGAGAAAGGACGGTGACCCGGATTCGAGATACGGATGATGGGATGAGAAAGGATAAGGATTCTTGAAATATTTTATGGTGCCAGGGGTAGTTCTAGGAACTTTACCTAGGGAGAGACAGGGAGACATCAGGGAGATTTTCTGGGCGAAGCAACAGGTTGGAGGCTGAAGCCATTGCTCGGACAGCCGGTAGAGGGGAGGCGGCTTGGAGGCGGCTTGGAGGCGGCTTGGAGGCGAGCACAGGGAGCAAGAGATGGCCTAGTCCATGCACTCGTGCACGAGCAGAATGCTGGGACTAGACAATAATCGAATAATCACGCAAGCAATCACAAATTAAATTAAAATAAAAACTGAACTGCAGATGATATCCTAGGTGCTAATGGGAGGTACCTAGTAAGAGTAAGAGCCTATAATGGGCTTTTGAAGTAGCGAAGCCTGAGAAGGTGAAGACAGAATTGATTCAAAGAGAGAGAGAAGCTTTCCAGGCTAGAGAACACCCCCAAGGAGGGTTGAAACTTGGTACATCCTGGGGAACTAGAGAAATACGCCCTTTCCCTACAATACTTAGGCCGAGGTTGGGGTTAATGGGGAGAGCGGTGAGGAAAAAGTAGGGGTGGGGTGGGGTGGGGTGGGGTGGGGTGGAGGGAGAAAGGTCTTAGATATTTTGTCCCGTAACAGCTGCCATCAACGTCAGGTAGCCGCGACCTCGCCGCACTGGTTACTGGGAGTTGTAGTCCTGCCCGCTAGCGAGCAGGCATGGCGGCCTCCATTGCGGGAGCCTGTGGGGCCGCAGCGGGCCTGTGCCGAGGCTTCCGAGCCGCCGGGGCGCTGCTCCCCGCGCCAGCCTCCATCGCCTGGCGTAAGTGGAGTGGGGCTTGCAAGCTGGGGCGAAGGAGCTCGGGGCCAGGCTGGAGGGAGGCGAGCCTAGAAGTCGGGGGCGGCCCCCGCGGGACCGCGAGTTGGGGCAGGTGGCAGGGCGCCGCGGGAGCTCGGGGCGAGCCCTGTTGATGTCTGTCGCCCGCTTCCCGCAGGGGCCCGCGTGGGGCCGGGCCGGCCGCAGAGCACGGGGCCTTCTGAGCCCGGCGCGTTCAAGCCGCCGCCGAAACCGGTCATCGTGGACCGGCGCCGGGCCCCGCGTCAGGAGAGGAGGTGAGGCCCGAGTGCGGGCGCGGGTCCCGGGACGCTCGCGGGGTCTGTGCGCCCGCGGGCTGCCTGTGGCGGGGGCTCGGCCTCCCCAGAGCCGCGGGGCGGGCGCTCGGCCTGCTCGAGCCTGTGGGCAGGACTCCCGAGGCGCGTGCGCCGGGCGCCGCGGGCTCCGCGGTCTTCCTCGTTTGTCCCAAGCCCGCAGAAATCTCAGGTGTCGTAAGGGTATTGGGATAACTGGAGCACAAGACCCGGCCCTTAGGAGCCTAACAAAGTGTTGAGGCGTGAAACACCCCGCTCTTTGGCATTTTTCAAATCGTCCGGGAAAAACAAAAACCACATGTACGTGTGGAGCAGAAATGTCAAAACGTTGGCAGTTGGTGAAACAAAGTGAAGTATATGTGGGTGTTCGTGCTGTTGCTATTTCAATTTTTTTGGCGGCTCTTAAAAAAATCTCCGGGGAGGAAACCGCGTGTTGGAGATCGTCGTCCTCAAAAGACGCGACCCCTGGTGCCCGGGGGACGCGGCTGGTCAGCTTCGGGCTTCCGCCCGAAGTCCAGGTCCCGAGCTCAGCGTTGCGGGATCCCGCCGCGCGGGGGCGCCCCGCTCAGCCAGGCGTCTGCGTCTCCCCGTCCCGCTGCCCCTCCCGCAGCTCATGCTCCGTCTCGCTCTCCTCTCAAATAAGTAGAATCTTAAAAAAGAAAAAAAAAAAGACGTGAGCCCTGATTGAGCTGTGGGCTGGATCCACCGCCTCACCCCCTCCCCTGCCCCTTGGAAGGTGGGTCCTGCTTGCCTTTCCTGCTCGCAGACGCCGCTCTAAAGACAGAGCTTGGAGATGACCGTGTCGTACTGAGAACACACACGTGGTACATGTGACTGAGCCCACTTAGTCTTTATGAGTTTTTAGGATTTGGCAGTGCGTATGGGGATGCCTTCGTCTTGCTGCCGCCCAAGACGAGCCTGTATGTAAGTTCACTCTGCTGTCGTTGAAACTGCCACCCGCCCACCTACACTGACCTGCTGCTTTCCTGGGTTATCTGCTTGCCCTTAAGAATATGGGGTCCAGGGGGGACCCCTGGGTGGCGCAGCGGTTTGGCGCCTGCCTTTGGCCCAGGGCGCGATCCTGGGGTCCCGGGATCGACTCCCGCGTCGGGCTCCCGGTGCATGGAGCCTGCTTCTCCCTCTGCCTGTGTCTCTGCCTCTCTCTCTCTCGCTCTATGTCTATCGTAAATAAATAAATAAATCTTTAAAAAAATAATATGGGGCCCAGTTTCAGAGTACACCTGGGAAGCTCCTGAGAGACTGGTGAATCAACATGAAGGAGGAGGAGGAAACTCAAAGGGATAATCCCTACCAAATTTAATGAATTGCGCCATAGTAATTAACTGTTGGCGGGGTACACTGGAGCTCCAAGTATATTGAAAATTTTATTTCTTGGGACGGGTAATAAGGACGTGAATTTTCACTGAAATGTCATTTATGCTTTTAAAGAAGTGAGCTTAGAGAAGTTAAAGAAGCAGTTACTAATTTCTAGATTTACATTTTTCCAGTGTCATTTATTTTAACACAGACAACTCAGTGCGAGGCTTGTGGTTTATGGCCATATGCATTGTAGTCTGACAGACATGACTACATTTAAATCTTGACTTGAGGGCACCTGGGTGGCTCAGTGTTTGAGCATCTGCCTCTGACTCAGGGCATGATCCCGGGGTCCTGGGATCGAGTCTCGCACTGAGATCCCCACAGGGAGCCTCCTTCTCCATCTGCCTGTGTCTCTGCCTTTCTGTGTCTCTCATGAATAAATAAATAAAATCTTAAAAAAAAAAATCTTGACTTGGTAAGTTTATAGCTAATATAACAATAGGTCAGTTACTTACCTTCTTTAAGCTTCATTTTTATGTGTGAAAAGATGATGATGACCCCATACCCACCTGCTCATTGTAAGGATTAATTTATGCTCTCGGTTTTCATAAACCCTTAACACAGTGCCAGGTGAGTACTCGGGAACTTAACTGTTTTCATGAGCATTGACAACAATTTTGCAAGTAAATAATTGACTTTTCTTTAGAGAAGAAAGAATAAAACATGTCAACATAGTCTTTCATTGTTTTGGTAAAAACAACAGTTTTTCCTTTAAAGGTTGCCTTAAATTTTTTTGTTTATGTTTTTCACAGGTTCTTGAGTCCTGAATTTATTCCTCCAAGGGGAAGAACAAATCCTCTGAAGTTTCAAATAGAAAGAAAAGATATGTTAGAAAGGAGAAAAATACTCCATATTCCAGAGTTCTACGTGGGTCAGTAAGAGCTGGATGCTTTTATTAGTGGTGGGAGGGGTTCATTTTCTTTTCTTGGAGAAGACTGTTTTCCACATATCTATGTTTTGCCCAGATGAGGTATTTCTTCCTAACATATTAAAATATTTAGGAAGTTATGAGGTTACCTAGAAATGTTGTTTGTGTGTCATGTAAAAGTTCACTTATCTTCTGAATTTCTAGGAAGCATACTTCGTGTTACTACAGCTGACCTGTACGCCAATGGGAAAGCCAGCCAGTTTCTGGGGATCTGTATCCAGAGATCAGGAGCAGGCCTTGGAGCTACTTTTATCCTTAGAAATACTATTGAAGGACAAGGTAGGTTTCACTTCATTAGTTTGATTTTCTGGAACATGTTCTCTCAGGATTCCATCTTGTGTTCTGCATCCTCGGATAAGACATCGGGAGCTGCCGTGGGGTCTGTGGCCTAAGAATGGTGGGAGAATTGAAGCTACTGGATAAACGGTCGATGCAGTGTTCCCATGAGGGTGGCTGTAGTATGGCCTGCCACCATTAGACTTTCCAGCCTCTGGCAGCATCACAGGAGGAGACAAGAAACTGTAAGCAGTGTGGGACATTCATTTTTGGAGTAAACGACCCATGAGAACATTAAGATAAACATAATGATGTCTGTGTGAGTCACCTTTTCCTAAAATGAATGCCCCCATTTCGCTTTATATTATGACAGTCATCATAATAATCACTGTTTGATAAGAATCAGAGGAATCTTTAAAAAGGCAAAATTTGTTTGTTATGCCTAGTAAGAAAGAGGCCCAAGTGGCAAAATTCTAAAAATGGCAGGACAGTAAAGTTTTCATACTTAGAAAGTTGTGTGCTTCACAATCCCCGACAGTGCAGTATTATATTCAAAGACATTGAACAGTGAGAACAGTGACTGTCTTCCTTATTGGGTCGTCACCTGCGTCACCCTGCGTGGAGGGCTCAGCAGGACTTGACTGGTTGCAGAAATGTGTGCCTTTGATCAGGCCATGTGCTTGGAGAAGTCTTGTGACAGAAAGACGTGACCACAGGTGTGAGTTAGATGGACTTTGGTTTGATTTTCTTTCTTTCTTAAAATTGAGATAATAATAGTTTCTACCTTCCAGGGTTGTGGTCAGCTGTGTTTGATACTATATAGGAAGTACTAGACACTGAATACTCCGAAGGTGTTCATTTCCTATTGCCCTTCTCTAAAGTACTTTCAGGGACAGGTGGGGGCAGGGAGAAAGCAAAAACAACAAAATAAAGTATTTTTGACTTTTGCAACCTGCCTTGACCTTCCGCATGGGTACACCTTTGATGTTCTTTTTAGCCTATTGGCTTTAAATAGCATCCATCTGATGGTAACTTCCACATCTGTGCCTCGAGAATTGACCTTTTCCAAGTTGCAGATTTGCACTTATAACTACCTCTTCAACTTTCCAATTGGATGTCTTTTAGGCATAGGACAAGCTCAGGGGGCACCTGGGTGGCTCAGGTTAAAATAAACATCTGCCTTTGGCTCAGGTCATGATCCTGGGGTCCTTGGACTGAGCCCCGCATCGGGCTCCATGCTCCACGAGGGGCCTGCTTCTCCCTCTCCCTCTGCTGCTGCTCCCCTCTGCTTGTGCTCAATTTCTCTCTCTCTCTCTGTCTCTCTCTCTCTCTCTGTCAAATAAATACTTTTTTTTTTTTTTAAAGTTCAGAATAGAATCCTGTTTCCCCTCACAATGTGCTGCTCTCAGATTTTTCTACATCCATAAATGGCACCACTGTCCACTTAGGAGCGATTTTTAATTACTGTCTTTCCCACATCTAGTCAATCAGTTTTTCTTGGCATAATCTTCAAAAAAACATATCCCAGTTTGGCTTGTTTCTCCATCTCCAGGGCTACCACTCTTGTCCATGCCACCACTGCCCCCTGTCGGCAACCGTGTTATCTCTGGTTTCCTTTCCTGGCCCACTAACAAAATTGTTCCAGCCAAAAGAATCTCTGTTTTTTTCCAATATGGCAAATTTGTTAAGACTGCAGGGCCGTTGCATTTACTGTTCTTTCTGCCTTGAGCATTCTTGGCTATTTATAGTATCCATTTATTTACTTACTTTTTAAGATTTTTATTTTTAAGTAATCTCTCCACCTAGCATAGGGCTCAAACCTATAACCCAGAGATCAAGAGTCGCATGCTCTACTGACTGAGCCAGCCCGGTGCCCCTCTAGTGTCAGTTTAAATCATCTTCTCAGAGAGGCTTTCCCTGACTATATACTACTTATTCCCCAGCCACAGTGTTATCACTCTGGTTGTCTTGACTGTATGAAATTACTTGAAATTAAGAATTGTAAATGAAATTATAGTGTGTTTATTTATTGTTTGTCATCTACTAGAATATAAGCTCTATGAGAGGAAAAGGATCTTAGCCTATTTTGAGTTTGCTATAGGTACAGTTCCTAAATCAGTACCTGGAACAGAAGAAGTATACAGTAAGTAATGGATTAAATAAATCCTGGCGTTAAATAGTAGATGTTAATGTTGATCATATATATTTGTATTTCTCATGGGATTATTTTTTTTTAAAATGGTTTTTTTTAATTATTTTTTTTTAATTTTTTTTTTATTATTTATTTATGATAGTCACAGAGAGAGAGAGAGAGAGAGAGAGAGAGAGAGAGGCAGAGGCAGAGGCAGAGACACAGGCAGAGGGAGAAGCAGGCTCCATGCACCGGGAGCCCGATGTGGGATTCGATCCCGGGTCTCCAGGATCGCGCCCTGGGCCAAAGGCAGGCGCCAAACCACTGCGCCACCCAGGGATCCCTTTTTTTTTTAATTATTTATGATAGTCACACACACAGAGAGAGAGGGGCAGAGACACAGGCAGAGGGAGAGGGAGAAGCAGGCTCCATGCACCGGGAGCCCAACGTGGGATTCGATCCCGGGTCTCCAGGATCGCGCCCTGGGCCAAAGGCAGGCGCTAAACCGCTGCGCCACCCAGGGATCCCTCTCATGGGATTATTTCAGGAAACCTGAGAGTGTACTCTTTCCCTTAAGTGTTTGATACTACAGACGATGTATCTTCAACTATTACTTGTAGCATCTTGAGGCATTTGGAGCTGTTCCTAGCTTGCTCCATATAGAAAGCCCCAGCATGTTTTAAAACCCAGGCCATCCTTAAGAGGGGCTTCTAAACCGAAGTTAGAACAAAATTTTATTTATTCTTTTTTTACATCATTAATCATGTCGCCCTTAATGTAGAAGGCCAAGTTTTATTTAAATAATTGGGATATAAATAAGAACACCACAGAGAAGAATTTTCTCAAACTGTCTCCAAGTTAATACTATCAGAAGTGAAGAGCTGTATGACTATAGAAGACATTTTTCTTTAGACTGTCATTCTAACTCATTATTTCACTTTTTAATCTACATGGACTCTAGTTTCTTTTTCTTTTAATAATCTTCATCTTAAAAATTACAGATTTACGTCACATTTCCTGTGTGTAGAACCCTTTGCTAGTTCCATTATGAAATAGTTTTTACTGTTGTATGAGGCATATGCATGCAGACATCTGGGTTTAGATTACAAGAATATATTTTCTCTTTTTAGGTGTTGAGATTTGCTTTGAACTTTATAATCCTCGAATCCAGGAGATCCAAGTGATCAAGTTAGAGAAACGACTGGATGATAGTTTGCTATACTTACGAGATGCCCTTCCCGAATATAGCACTTTTGATATGAATATGAAGCCAGTAGCACATGAACCTAGCCACGAAGTTCCTGTTAATCAGGTATAAGTTGTAGTTTTGGAACTGAAAGTTGTCTGTAGAATAAGAAAGAGTCATCGTAACAAAAACTTGTAGAATTTTTGCTTGTGACTGTCAGCCTAAAATTAACTAATTAATTAATTAATTAACTTATTTATTTATCTTCCATAGCTGAAAGTAAAAATGAAGCCTAAGCCCTGGTCCAAACGCTGGGAACGTCCAAAATTTAATATTAAAGGCATCAGATTTGATCTCTCTTTAACTGAAGAACAAATGAAAGAAGCTCAGAAATGGAGTCAGCCATGGCTTGAGTTTGATATGATGAGGACATATGATACTTCAAAAATTGAAGCTGCAATATGGGATGAAATTGAAGCATCAAAAAAGTCCTGATTCTGAGAATCAGTTTGGTTATTTGCAGAGGATATACTGACTCCCGGAGAATTTATTTAAAGACCAATTTAATTTCATATATGAGGACATAGTCATTAAATAACTAAACATTGATTTGTTTATGAGTACTGTTGTAAAAAAATAAAATTAGCATACCAGCTTATTACTTTAGAGTCAAATCATTACTGAAATATTCTTAAGTGAGCCTGGATTCTGAACATGGAAGAGGCACGATTTTTTTAAATTTGTGAAATAAATTATAAAGACAAAAAAAGTATGAAGAGTAATGATAAAGTGAACATTGATGTACCCACCTCAGGGTAAGAGGTAAAACATTTAGTAATCTCTAAGAAGGTCAAGAAATAGAACATTTACTAGGATTTGAGAAGACCCTTGTGTGTCTGCAATTACATCCCTCTCCCCTCCCAGATACAAGCACCGTCCTGACTTTATGTCAATCATTCCCTTGCTTTTCTTTTAGTTTATTACATACCTATCCATTCCAGAACAGCATATCTAGTTTTGGGAAACCTGTTGGCAGATATAAAAGGACAACATCATTATTACATGAAGCCTTCGGGGAGAGCGTTAAGTCTTTTGGTCACAGTCTGGCTGCATTTTCCCTGAGAGCTTACAAAAGTCACTTTGAGATGGCTAAAGTCATGAGAGTCCTGCTTCAATAGGGGGTCCGCCACAGGACAGCTGGTGGGACTATAGCATAGGTAATTGATGACTGGCGGAAATGTGGTTGGAGGGAGTAGCAAGCTCTCTATTTTCTGGTTTTTAGCTCATGATGAATCAAACTCCCTCTCATAGGACAGGTCAAAACAATACTTCTCTAGGACAATGTGAGTATCCTTGCTGATCCGTGTAGCTGAAGTGGAATGAAATTCTGGCATATAAATGACCTGGTACAAACCAGCCTCCAGGTAATGTGGGCTAGGCTTACGTGAGCATGCTGTTCCTTGGGTTATCAAGAGTCCAAGCACAGGTCTTAATGAGGGCACCCCTCAACTAGATCTACCCTCTGGTGCTTGGCTGCGTTGGGATTTGCATTCACATCTCTCCTGTGCTGATGTGTTTCCTGGATTCTTTTTTTTCCCCCCTTTTATTGGTTACTAACTTTTTCTGGAGCATACATTTTGGTAGCTTCTAGAGGAAGTATGTATGGAGGTAAATCTTTTGAGACCTATATGTCTATCATATTTGATATTTTGTAGAATTCTAGGTGGGAAGTCATTTTCCTTCAGAATTTTGAAGATACTGCCACACTGTCTTGTTTCCAGTTGTGTTGAAAAATCCAAAACAATTTTGATTTCTGTTCTTTGCATGTAACTTGAAAGCTTGTAGACAGTCTTGCTCCTCAAGGTAATGAAATTTCACAGTGACGTGCCTTGGAGTGGGTCTATATAGATTTATCCTGTATGTTGGGCATTTGATGAATCTTTTCAGTATGCTAACTTGTACCTTTCAGTTCCAGGGAAAGTTACTGTTCACTGATGCCTCCCTTCTGCTTCTCTCCTTTGGGAGCACTTATCTGGTTGTTGAATCTCTGGGACTCGATCTCTGTCCCTCCCTGCCCCAGCCCTATCTCTGTCTTTTAGCTCTTTAATTCAATCTTCCAACCTTTCTTTGCCCTCATATTTCTGAACTTGAAGATCCCTTTTTGATTTCTGAATGTTCCTTTTCTTATATAGTACTTTGTTCTTATTCTCTGTTCTTGCCTATGGATTTGTTCTGTGACCACAGAGTATATTCATGATAGTGTTTGTGTGTTGTTGTTTTGTTTTTGTTTTTTAGAAATTATTTTTCTGCAGGATCTGTTTTCTTCAAATTTCTTTTTTCTGTGTGTATTTTTTTCTTCCTGTTTCAGGCGTTACCAGGACATCTGGCAATTCTTGACTGTCTACTTCTGGTTGAAGAGTGGACTAAAAAGCTGAGTAGGAGCCTTGGACTTGCAAGAAGGGATTGTTTTCAGGGTTATTTGGGTGGACTTTTGTGGACTGTCCCACCCTCCGTGTGAATGTCTTGGTTTGGTCAGATTCTCCAGAGTAGAGGCTTCCAGTCACCTTCCTGGATGGTAAGGATCCATCTGCCAGTGTTGTGGGAACCTTAGCGGAAGATTCTGGCACTGTACGCGTAGCGTATATGGCCATCTTGTCCATCTTGTCTATCTTCCCCCCTCCCCACAACACATTTTTGGCTTGCTACCCACATAGTGCCTGAAGTGCAGAAAACCCTTTTCACTCTCTAGAGGATAAACTTCTGGACTTTTGCTGTTGTAGGGAGGGCCAGACAAGCAATGTGAGGAATAGGGGAAGGGATATTAGAGATGTAACTGCCAAATCGTTTTCATTAGGTTATTTTAACCACTGCCCTTAACTCCCTATTGCTGAGGCACTGGAACTGCTGACTGGATGGTTCTGAGGGGTGAATTAGGTTGATTCTCACCTTTCTCCGCGGGTCGCTTGCTTTGCCTTTCTTGAGCCTGCCAGTCAATACAGATGCTTTGTCAACTATGAAAATGGTGTTCTGAGTGTTTCTTGTCCTGTTCTCTCCTGTGGTTTTATGTCTCTTTCATATGAGAAGTGTTATGTGCTGCTTGCATCTTGTTCTGTTTTCTCCTTCCCTGTGGCTTTGTCTTTTTCCCTGTGGTATATTTTAGTGGTCATTTGAATCATTCATTTGACCTATATAGATTTCTTCTCCAAAAATTTTTAGATATTAATCTTTGGGGTTCTCAACATTCAGCGCATCCTTGATCTTTTTCGCTACTAGTTGTCCCATGGCCATCTGACTACTTTCAGAAAGCAGTGGATAACTTGCTGAGATAGCTTCTCATATAAAGTTTTAGCAAAGGTCTGTATTTTATATTTATCTTCTAACTTGTCAAAAGATAACCATTAAGGCTTGTTTAGTTATTACCTCAATAAACACACTTCGACCTTGATATAAGAGGAGATGAATGATACATTCCAAGATCCAAAGCGTAAATATGATCCGCTCATAAGTATATGTGCTCTTAACAGCACAGCGAGTCATGTTTTCCACTCTGTAAAATTATCTTTAAAATTTTTGTGAATTTTCCTCCAGAAACAAAGCAAATCCTAAGCTATTAAATGTGTACAGGATAAAAATTTTATTGTAAGATATATAGTATAACATTTGCCATTTTAACTATTTTTAAATGTGTGATTTTTGTGGCATTAATTACATTCACAGTGTCCTGCAGCCATCACCACTACCTCTTTTGCCTCACCCCAGACAGAAACTCTGTGACCATCAAGTAAAACTCTGTTCCCATCCCCCTCCTCCAACCTCCTGGTAAATCCCACTCTTTATTATTTTGTTCTAGATACTTCTTTTAAGTGGAATCACAATATTTGTACTTTGTTTTTGGCTTATTTTGCCTAATATGTTTTCAAGATTCACCCACTTTGTAACATACCAGAATTTCATTTCTTTTTTGGCTATATGATATTTTATCATGTAATAGACTTTTTTTTTTTTTAATCCATTCATCTGTTGATGAACACTTGGGTTATTTTCACCTTTTGGTTTTGGTGAATAATGCTGTAGAATGCTGACAGACATGTATCTCTTTGAGCTGCTACTTTCATTTTCTCTTTATATACCAGGTGTATATCCTGGAATATAATTTCTGGTTCATATGTAAATGTTCTTTCCAGTTTCTTCTTTAATCCATTGGTGCTGTTTAATTCCCACGTATTTGTGATTTTTCCACTTTTCCATTTGTTACTGATTCCTAGTGTCTTTCTATTACGGTTAGAGAAGATACTTTGTATGATTTCTTTTAAAATTTACTCAGAGTCTTGTAACCTAACATAGTCTGTCCTGCAGAGTCTTCCATGTGCACTTGAGAAAAATGTGTGTTGTGTTGTTGGATAGAGTGTTTTATGTATGCCTGCTAGGCCTGGTTGATATATAACATTAAGTCTTCTTTTTCCATATTAGTCTTCTCAGTGTCTTATCAATTTTTGACAGTGGAATATTGATATTTCCAACAATTACTATAGAACTGTCTAGTTTTCCCTTTAATTCTGTCAATGTCTATTGGATTTGGGGGGCCCTGTTTGGGGCACAAATTATTAAATTTTTGGTGAATTGACTTTTATCAATGTGTAATATCTTTTGTTTCTTTTAATAATTTTTTGTTTTCAGTCTATTTTGTCTGGTATTACTAAAGCCCCCTGTGCTCTTGTTCACTTGCTGTTTACATAGTGTATCTTTTTCAGGGGGCCTGCTGGCTTAGTAGAGCATGTGACTCTTTTTTTTTTTTTTTTTGAGCATGTGACTCTTGACATCAGACAAGAGAGGCTGCTGGTGTCCTACCAGTTTCCAGGCTTTGTTCACTTTTCTTCTGTTTTTTAATTCTAGTCCTCAGATTTGGTCATTGTAATTGCTCTGTCTTCAAGTTTGCTGGTTCTACTTTCTGTCTGCTCCAGTTAGCTATTGAATTCCACTAGTGAACTTTTATTTATTTTTTAAAAGATTTTATTTATTTATTCATGAGAGCTAGAGAGAGGCAGAGACACAGGCAGAGGGAGAAGCAAGCTCTATGCAGGGAGCCCGATGAGGGACTCGATCCTGGGACTCCAGTATCATGCACTGGGCCGAAGGCAGGCACATAACCTCTGAGCCACTCAGGGATCCTCACTAGTGAACTTTTAATTTCAATTTTCTATTTATGGCTTCAGAATTTGGTTTCTTTTTATAAATTTCTCTGTATTTATGGATATCCTCATTTTGTTCATATATCTCTTTTCTGATTTCTTCAATTGTTTGTCTGTGGTTCCATTTAGGTCTTTGAGCATATTTAAGAGAGTTGTTTTAAAGTTTTTGTCTAATTCTGATGCCTGTGGTTCTCTGGGGGATGTTTTCTGTTGTTTCTTTGAATGGCCATACTTTCCAGTGTCTTTTGAATGTCTTGTGACTTTTTTTGTTGTTGAAAACTGGACGTTTAAATATTATAACATGATTCTGGATATCAGATTTCCCTTCTCCAGAGTTTCCTTTATTATGATTATTGGACTGTAGTCCATTTGTTTACTGATATTTCCAAACTTTTTGGCAAAGAATCGATCCTTTATTGTGTTGATCACTGAAGTCTGTTTGTTAACTTGTATTTGGATACTATTTCCT